GCCACCTCCCCGCGTCCCTGCCCGGGCGAGGGGCATCTGGCCCGGCTGCCTGGGAGCAGGGAGGGAGCTGGGAGGAGGGCTGTGCTGCACGCAGGAAAAGGGGTGTCCAAGCCTCAGCTGTCCCCATCCACACCCCTTCATGCCAGCCCCTGGGTGTGCTGGGGATCAATCCCCCCAGAGAAAAGCCACTGCCATCCCACTGCCACCACATCCCAATACACCCACCCAGCCAGGCTGGCCAAGATCTGTCTTTGGGAGCACCCAAAATGGTTTTGGAGAGGACCTCTGGAACAGCCTAGGCTGAGAGGAGAGGTAAAGGGGTCAGTGTATCAGTGGGAGCTTGTTTCTGTCTGCTGCCATTCAGCAACAGAAAAGCCACTGTGCAGACAGCGTGGTGATGCTGAGGACAGAGCCCTGCTGCTGGAACAGAGCCATCTCCTCCATTGCTCAGTGCTACCATCACTTTACAGGCAAACTGAGCTCCCCCAAACTGCAGGCAACTCTGCAATCAGTAGCACTGTCCTCCCTCTGATTTGGACATAAAACACCATCAGTTCTTAGCTTACCATGTTGCTTCATTAGGTAACGACCTACTTCATCTTGGGAACATACTGAGTTTCTTGCCATAGTGGCAAGTAACCTTCGGGTGTGAGTACGTTGGAGCAGGGACTAGCTTGCTGGGATGCTTGTACAGCCATACTACCAGCTGCAGAGAGCTGCATTAACAGCCCTATCTTTGCTCTGAACGTCCTGGGTTTTACAACACATCCAACAGTGGTGGTCAATGCCCTGGGCTACCAGCAAGTTGCAAACCCATGAATAAAAATTTACAGGACCAAAAATTACATCTCTACTTTTCCTGTCCACTGCCTTAGTGTTCACATGAGGATTGTTACCAGCACCACAAACACCCTTCTTGCCACACGTATAGATAGATAAACCCTCAACAGAAAGCCTGTCTGTATGCACCAGTATGGCAGTCAAGGGTTGAATGAGATTTCAAAGACAGCTTTGGAAAGGCACTATTACAAGAAGCTTGCGAAGAAAAAGAGGCAACCACTCACTTCATGAACATGGCGATGTAACATGAACAGACTTTTGTGGGGTATGCCAGAGGCCAGAACTACAGAATGTCATTTTCTATAGTGCTCAGCACCTCTCCTTGAGACTGAAGCACTGAAATCCCCCACAGACCTTGGAGTTCTCCAGAAGGTCCGTCTGTGAACAGGCAGAGTTTGAATGCTAAGTCACAGGGCCATCTGGAATGGAGGGTCGTTTCTAAGCCCTCTTTTCAATGCAGCCTGCCAGCTCCTTTCAGGATCAGTTAAACAGTTGGCTTCCCCACATCTGCGCTGGGAATTGCCATGTTCTGAACACTCACATTTTGTCCCCTGCCCTTCCAGTTCCCCTTGTTATTCCTGGTCCCCATCTCTGCCTGCCCATGTTGAAACAGCGACCCTCTGTTCATCTGCTCGTAACAGAGCAGTGGGACATGCATCCTGCAGTCACAACACAGCCTTCCTCCACCAAGTGGGATGGGAACCCATCCAACACCCCCCCCAAAGCCTCCAGTTCGTTGCGTGCTTAGAGATTTCAGAAATAGAGGGTTACACCACTAATGCGTACCGCACCCTTCAATGACTAAACACAACTGTCAGCCAGGCTGGGGTCATGTAATCAGAACCAGTCCTCCTCACATGTCCAGTGTCAGCTTCAAAGAGTACTATGATCAGCCTTTTTTCTCATTTACAAATTTCCCTCACTCCTCAACTAAATTCAGCCCTTAGCTGGGTCTCCAGCATGTCCTTCCTTACACAAACTGGCTTACCTTAGCAGTAACACACTCTCAGGAGTCACGGATTAATGCGTCCCAGGTGAGGGTCTGTTTGTGACCTGTAAAAAGAGAGATACCTTGTTCACTCTAGTGGACAGCGAGGATATTTAACACCATACCTCATCACTGTGCCTTGGGCCAGGGTGCAAACACTCCAGAGAAGGCAGAGCAATGGTGAGACCAGAATCACAGCCTCCCTAAAGGAGCAGACGCGCTCAGCCAGAACGGAGGACATGGGCTCCCGATGCGTGCCTCCTGCTGCAGGGCAGCCTGCTGCTCCCAGCAGACACAGACCTTGTCCAGCACTGCAGATCCACCCCGCAGGATGTAATTGTATCTGCCAGTGTTTTTTGACCTGCAGTCTGCAGGATGTCGGGAGGGTGTAATAAAGGAAAACAAGCAAGCCAGCCAGAAGCAGATCCACTAACAGATATGCAAGATCCTAGCATTTTAGAAGACTGCACAGAGAACAACTGCAAACTCACGTACACTTGCATTGTACAGGAACACTCGGAGAGCTCCACTGCACATCATCTTACCAGTCTCAGAAACACCCACTTGCAAAAGACAGACCGGCTTTCCTGCTGGTCTAAGTGGGCATCACTCAGCTGAAGCCAGGGGAGACATTAGACTTATACCAGCAAAAACTCTGGTACACTCCGATTTCCCTGTGCTGAGACAATGGCCAAGTATCATTTTTAAGATAACAGCACTAGACCAACTGAACTGGCAACACTTAAAATATTCTGCTGTCTGCAGCCACCCTTTAGGTGGTACAAAATTTTCCAAGAAATGAGAGAGGGTGAGGGGAACAAGTAAGATGAACCAGCCCCTGGGCTAAGAATTTATGGACTATCAACGTGAAGTGAATATTTACAGCTATATTATTTATAAAACCCTCGCAGGCAGGGTTTATAATGGGAATGCAGATTCATCTTAATGGTAGAGCTCCAATTGAGGGAGTTTAATTACTGCTTTGACATCCACTGCTGCATGCCCAGCCATGCCATCCTCTCGGCAGCTTTCTTCATTTGTGCCTATTACACTTGGCGTAGGAGGCTCCATTTCCCTGAAGCCTTACAGTTAAGGGAGACATTGGCATGATGTCTTGGTACACTCCTGGCTCACATCCAGCTGTGTCTGTGACTGTCTGTCCTTCAGGACTGATCCACTGCTTGGGTTCTTTGGTTGCTTGTGGGTATCATCTGTGTACACACAGTGATAGGGCTGTAAAGCATTGATTCATTCTTCCTTTCTCCACCAGGTCTGTAGCCAGGGTCTCTTTGGTATTGTGCTTTCTGCTCTATTCAAGCATATCCAGAGCAGGAAACCAGCTGTGTCTGTGACTGTCTGTCCTTCAGGACTGATCCACTGCTTGGGTTCTTTGGTTGCTTGTGGGTATCATCTGTGTACACACAGTGATAGGGCTGTAAAGCATTGATTCATTCTTCCTTTCTCCACCAGGTCTGTAGCCAGGGTCTCTTTGGTATTGTGCTTTCTGCTCTATTCAAGCATATCCAGAGCAGGAAAGAAGCTTGGGGTTAAGATGCCACACCTCTGCCAGCTATGGCTCCATCCCTGCTGGTGATGTATGTGTGTACACCCAGCTTTTTTTTCCTCTCTCTCTCTCTTTTTTTTTTGAGCTCTCAGTGCATCCTTCACTGGGTGATGCCTGAAGCACACATTCAGTGGAGCAGCGCGAACATATGGGGCACCCATTTGCTTATTCATTTCTGCTGGCAGCAGCATACAGAATGGGCATAGGACTTGTTTCCTCCCTTAGCTGAGCCCTCCTTGTCAACTGAATCAAACCCAGCACTATCGCTATTAGGGAGCTTTTTTGTTCTACATTTTACTCCTGAGGTATTTTTTTCTGCCCTTGGGGTATTTTCATGTGAATATGGGATCTCTCTTTCCCAGATGCTTCCCCCGCCCCCCAGCTCTGTAGTACCTCCTGATTGTAATAACTGTGTCATATATTAGATCTTAGCTTCCTCTTAGCAAGAAACAGCTTAGTTCTTTGCAGTATCATCCATCTGGCCCCTGGGGAGGCTTTTTGTTCCCAGGGATGCTGAGGTTTCTTCCAGCATGTCCAAAGGTGCCCCATACTCTGGTCCATGCAGGTAAGTTGCATGGACCACAGACATTCCCTAGCTCACACTGTGGGAGATGGGAAGAGGACTTCCCCATGACTGTCATGTAGAGCTATCTATAAATTTACCATTACACCCTAAAAGGCAATACTGCCAGTGCTTAGCACTTACTGAGAACTTCAAAACACAGCTAAACTCATGCTGATGGGCAGGACTTTTGCTTAGCCAGCCATCACCAGGGTGTATGGCACTATCTAAATACCAGAGAAAGGTTTGATTCTTCCAGAAAAGCTGAGATTGGAGAAGCAGGTTTAGAGCCAGCCTTCCTGCTTGGCTCCTTCAGCAGATTCACACATAGAGGCTGATAAAACTGTGAGTTTCTCTGGAGCTAATTCTCTCTGGGCTCCAGCCAGCCTGGAAATGATACCGCTCTCACCTTCTGTGGTAGGTGGAAACAAGGCGATCAGTCCTTAGGCTGGCTAGCTCAACTTAACACTGCATCTCATTCAGCTCTCTGGCTGTCCACACCTCCCATCGCAGTAATGCTGGGTCAGACACAGCTTCTTCACCTTTGTTGGGTAGTTTCCTGTATTGAGCAACCAGCTGGCACCTCATGGGATTTACTTTCTGCTTTCAAAACACCTCATGGTTATAGCTCCAAGGGAGCCTGTGTATCTGACTGACCGTGTTTTTCTTGTAGGACCTGGGACTAGAAGGAACATTCCTCAGTGAAGTGCTCTACAAAAATGCGACTTTCCTCAACTTGGTGGATCCCATCTCCCATGACTTGCTGATGAGCCTTGCTAGAGATCTGCAGTGTCCCAAAAAGGTGAACCCTTCTCTCAGCTCAATGGACATTTTGCGACATAGCGCTGATGCAAAGAGAGCCCTAATGGGGTGGCTGGTGCTCGGTGGTGCTCTGCAATCCTTCAGAACCAGCCAGTGTATGCCCTTGGAGTGGTAGCATATAGATTGTTGTGCATATTTCTGCAGAAATCAGTTAAAACTACCTCAGAACATGGATGCAACTGAAGGAGGGGGTGGTTATGCACACAGAAATCAGGAATCTATTTTTTGTGCCTTGATGACAGGGTACAGGCCAGATAAAAACATATGGGGTGGATAGTGGTGCCATATTCACTGGTATGCCCCAGAGGTTCAAAGCTGCTAGCTTATGGGCGGTTTATGGGGCTGCAGAGGGGAACAGATATCTCTGCACCTCTGGCCAGGCTGGTGCCTCTGCAGGAGGAGGACAAGAACCTCTCTCTTCCCAGGCCCTTTGCCATATGTAACTTCCCTAACCCAGCATTACATCCTCCCCCATAACTTCCCAGATCTCTGAGTAAAGAATGGTACTGTAGGAATATATTGCAACTCAGGGCTCAAGAAGCAAATGTGTTACGTGCACAGTATCCCTGCACTGCTCCAGCACTTTTCTTCAAAGAATCAGGAGAGCAGAGTCAAAGAAAGGCAAGGCTGAGTGCAGACAAACATCACAGATGCCACAGTCCTACTGCAACACCAGCATCTACTTCTGTTACCCTTCGCCACCACAAATACTTGGATTTGCACTACATCCGTTTGCTCATCAGGCTGGGCAAGTATCATGTTTGCTTTATAAGGCGAGCCATAGAGTGAATTTCTTTATTCAAAGAGAGATATTAAGTACACACAGCTCAGAGCAAGCAGCGGCACCCTAGGGAATACACTGAATGCCTGGTGTAGATTAGTAGCATTTCTAACCTTGTTCTGCCATCTCCTGAGGCTCTCTGAAAACAATTAACCAGTCAGGTCTCAATAGCCAAACTACATTTAGCCAAAGTTTAATCACCATTATTGGACTGCTATGCAGCCTGAAAAATCTTCTTTTCAAGTGTAATTTTTGTGCAAATTTTATAAGCATCTAAAAAGGAAGGGGGCGGGTTGCAGCATTAGTATCTCTTAACCATACTTCATTTGACCTCATCTCCAGCTGTTCTACCAGACCATCTCCAACCTCATGCTGTGCAATGCCCTTCAGGGGAGGTAGCATGAAGGGACATTACCCTACTCCAGTACCCAGGTGCCTAGCAGATAACATACTACAATTTTTATATACCTGCATATCCCCCTCCCCCTCTATTTTCATGTCTTATAGATGCACATGCTTATCTGTACTGACACACGTACCATTATATAGATAAGATTTTCCTCATTCCTAAGGAAGATGTTGAACACCTGAGCTGCCCGTCAAAGCCAACAGGAGTTTAATTAAGGGGTTGGAGAGACTCAGCACCCTGCAGCACCAGCCCCCTTCCCAGCACAAACATTGGCAGACCACATCCCCTCTCCGACCCTGGCTGAGCATCTGGTGGATGTAACTGCATTACAGGCAAGCCGGCTGAGTGCAATTCCCAGTCTGTCAATGGAAATTAAATCAGTGAGGACACAGGAAGGAACAGGAGGGTAATTCTCAGTTGTGAGCCAAAAAACACTTGCAGAGCCTTGTGCCAGCTTCTGTGATGAAGCCTGGTGTGGACGTGCACGCACTTGGAAAGGTTTGCTGTTGTAGGTGACAGCAGGGTGCCATTTGCAGCCTTGTCAGCACAGTAGTAGTCTAGAACAAGGCACCTAACCCAAGGGCACGGGCCAGTCCCTGTGGGGTTCCTACGGGAGCTGGGACAGGGATCAGGGGGTGTTCAGCTGAGCACTGAGGCTGGGATCCCTCTCCACTTAGCACAGCAAAATGGCCACATGCTGGCAGTGCATCCCTGGGGAGTTCAGCTGATTCAGTGACTGCTTAGGCAAGTCACAGTACAGCACTTTAACCGCTTGCAATAAAGAATAAATTAGCATATTCCCTGACAGCTTTACTATATGTTTACCTATCAAATCCCTAAATGCACATGTTGCACCACAGCTGGAGGGCTGAGGAATGGGAATGCAGGTGTCTGTCAGCATTTGGAAAATACGATAGAGGGGGCAGAAATCCCAGCCTTCAGCAGCTGCTATTTGCCATTCTGCTTCACTAGAGGAAGAGAGGTGCCGTTCAAAGTCATGGCGATAGAGAACAGGTGCAACAATAAGCCCAGAAAAGTAGCAACCATCTTGGTGCCATCTTTTCCTGGTAAAAAGGGGCTGGAGGGAACTGCTGGCATTGGGAAGCTCCCAAACTCAAACCTCCAGGAGCAGAATAGACTGCAAGGAAGTAAGATGGAGTGTGGAGAACTCACTGGTTCCCTGCCCTGGCATCTCCCAGCTGGAGCATGGGAGGGAACAGAGGGTGTTGCTGCAGGAGGAGCAGGGATGTCCCAGGGCACATCTCTCCCAGCAAGAAGCTCCTGGGGGATGGGGCAAAAGTGCTGACTGCTGAACTTTCCACCTGAGGGGAACAGATGGTCAGTCCAAAGACAGTATGCAGGTAGAGTTTGGGAGGCATGGCAACAAGGTAATTGTTGTACCTTGTAACACATTGTGTACTCCTGTAACACAATGAGTTGGCAGCTTCTCTGCCCAGCTGCGGATGGGTGCTGCTGAGGATACAGCAATGAGGAGCTGAGACACCCTTGCTGTCACTGCGTTGGGCTTTTTTGAAAGCAGAGAACTTTTGAAGAAAAGGGCTTAGGGGGTCCCTGCACAGAGCCCTTCTCACATTTTCAGCCACCCCTGCGTTCCTGGGTGTTGCCTGGCCTAGAGCAGGACCCCCTGCCACAACTCTAGAAGATAACCCCCTCTTCTGAGCTCTACTTGCTCCTTGGTAGGGTGTGAAATTGTAGCCCCACTCTGGGCAGGAACATGCTGGCTGGGCTGGGTCCTTCCTGGCAGTGCAGAGCTCTTACTGCTCCTCCTCCACCTCAGGAGGAGACGGCATGTGGCACAGAAGCAACTCAGGCCTTCTCACCATTCCTCTTCCACCCTTTTTTCCTCTTCTCTTCATCTCCTCCCCTATATACATTCCCCTGCTCCACTACCACCTCTGTTCCTTTCCCCACCTCTGTCCTCCCCCTTGCCTCTTGTTCTGCTGTGGTGCACGCAGAGGCTAAGCTGTCCCTTTGCTTTCAGGAATATGACCCCTGGAAATCCTCAGACAGGATCTGCAGGCAGCTGATTTATCACCTAACTCCCCACTCGAAATGGCACCGGCACGGCATGCCCCGGAGGAAGTCCCAAGTGTGGTAAGCAGCCTGGCAGGGATAGTGTGGATGGGCATGGAGGGGGATCTGCCAGGAGAAACTGTGCTGCAGCCAAGCACCATCCCAGTCTGCCACTACTGCCTTCTCAGAGAAAGGCAGGGCTGAAAACCTGCATGGCAGCCTCTGCTCAGTCTTTTAGAAAACCTCAGCCAAATGGTGCAGGGTCAGTGCCAATGACCCTCTCCCTGTTCTGGTTTGCTATTTACTCCTTTTTATGTAGTCTTACAGTTCCTCAAATTCTCCCAAGAGCGTTGAAATCAATCCCACTGAAACGGTGATTGCACAGCACAGACAACCCTCCAGGCAGGGCTCGCAGGGTGTTTGGCCCTAGGAGCATGGCTAAAGCTGGCAGCCTTGCAAATACACACACCCGTGTGCCAAGCTGAGCTGGCCCCCAGCTCTGCATCCCACTTTGTCCCTGTCTATCCCAGTATAACTTCCCTGCCTATGGGGAAGGTCTCCCATTATGAGGCACTACCACAAGCTGACCACCCCATTCAGTAGGATCCACTTTGGGGTGGCTGGCAGAGAGGTGACCATCCTTACCCACCTCCCTGCTTCTCAGCCAGGACCAGAAGAGGGACTGGAGATGATGCAGAGCCTCACACACGGGGAACCCGACTCAAGGCACATTGGCCACAGACAGCTACGGGATGGCAGCTGCTTTCCACTACTACAAACATATTCAGACACCCACACTTGTTCTTTCCTTGATGCTTGCTGGCTCTTCTAACCAGATAAAGAGCAATCCTTACTTCTTTTAAATCTACCCCTTCTCTCCTCATTTTCTTTGAGCAAAGCCTGTTCCTGTGACACAGATCACCAGTGGTGAAGAAAAGACAGAGAAGTGACTTAAAGAGGAGCTCACGTCAGCCCCATTAGCTTCACAGGAATAAATGCAGGATTGGGTAAAAAGAAATGCAAAATTGGCAGCTGTCATGGTTTAACCTCAGCTGGCAACTAAGCACCACACACCTGCTCGCTCACTGGGATGGGACAGAGAATTGGAAGAGTAAAAGTGAGAAAACTCGTGGGTTGAGATAAAGACAGTTTAATAGGTAAAGCAAAAGCTGCACACGTAAGCAAAGCCGATCAAGGAATTCATTCTTCAGCCATCTCCAGGAAAGCAGGGCTCCATCATGTGTAACAGTTGCTTGGGAAGACAAATGCCATCACTCCGAACGTCCCCCCTCCTTCTTCTTCCCCCAGCTTTATATGCTGAGCATGACGTCATATAGTATGGAATATCCCTTTGGTCAGTTGGGGTCAGCTGTCCCAGCCGTGTCCCCTCCCAACTTCTTGTGCACCCCCAGCCTACTCGCTGGTGGGGTGGGGTGAGAAGCAGAAAAGGCCTTGACTCTGTGTAAGCACTGCTCAGCAGTAACAAAACCATTCCTGTGTTATCAACACTGTTTTCAGCACAAATCCAAAACATAGCCCCGTATTAGCTACTATGAAGAAAATTAACTCTATCCCAGCCAAAACCAGCACAGCAGGACTCTAAGAATGGTCTTGGGCTTTCCCGAGGCTTTTGGAGTCTTTGATGCATGTGCCAGCAACTTAAAATCCCCCATGGGAATTGACATTTCCATCATACCTTTCGTTCTGACTCTGAGGCAGATCCTCAGTGCATCTTAAGGAATAAAATCCCTAATACCATGATTTGCAGGCCATCTGCCTCCCATACCTGTGACCCCACTTTGCCACTGAATCTGAGCCCTCTGTGACTTTCAGTGCTCTCATCCCCAGCACCCCATAGGGCAGGACTGTTTGTGCCAGTTTGCAGGTGGGAACCACAGCACAGAACAAGACTGAGGGACCAGAGCTGAGCGAGTCCTTTTCCAGACCCATTCAGTTAGATTACATTTTCCCTATGGGATCCTGCAGAGTGCTGGAGATGCAGGACACAGAGCAGGTCTGACCTCGTCCCCATCCCCTCCCAAGATAAAGAAGAGAGGCTTAAAGAAGTGCTGGAGACGGGGAGAGCTCTAGAGAGGGTGGCTGTCTCCATTCCTTTTCAAGCTCTCTTTTGCTGAAACCCAGCCTTTCCAAGTGAGAAATCCCTCCCTGCCGCTACCTAACTCAACCCTCTGCTCCCACACTCCTGTTTGCAGGCAGAACAAACCTCTTCTCCAGTTGGAGAGTCAAACTGGAGGTGTTCCCTCTGATTGCACAGCCCAGGAAGAGCAGAGGACTGCCTGCTGCAAACTCATCGCTTACTAATGACGCAGGGAGCAGGTCTGCGGCCAGAGGAAGAGCTCTGGGCCCCATGAGCCCAAGTCCCACACACATGGGTCAGGCCCAAAGTATTGGCCAGGTACAGAGCATCTGTGTGCACAAGCAGGGAGAGGGCAGCAAGACAATGTGCAGTGGAGGGAAATATGGGTCTAAAATGGATGGCCCTGCCTGGCAGCCAGGCCCAGCTGCAAGGTGTTACATAAGGCATGAAATAATTTTGATTAAATATTAAACAGCAGTGGGAGTATTTTACTATAACCTCTGTCTCTGAACCTGTGCCCTTGGCTTGCACCCTTCCTGCCTCCAAGGTCCCGTAAAAAGCATGGGTGTAGCAGCAATACGTTGAAGGCATTTCTAAAATCTAGTGGGGATTTGGGACAGCAGGGAGGAATAGTGTGTGGAGACCACATTCATGAACTGAATTCTCTCGCTTTTTGCAGTCTCCTGGGCTTTGACTTCTGGCTTTCACAGAACTGATGCAGGACCCCCTTGTTCTCTCCTGAAATGCGATTTCTGCTTTCTGGCAGCATGTCAGATGGGTCCAGGAGATAATTAAACAAGCCCAGCAATACAGAGAGCTTACAGCATCTGCCAGGTTTTAATTATGTTTGAGCTGTTATGGAGATGTGGTATGGGCGATGGAAAGGATCTGCAATACTGGAGACAGATCGCACATCAGGTGTTCCTCCCCACCGCCAAATAGCAAATCAGTGGGTCAGGAACAAGCTAACTGTAGTTATGTCCCCATCTACTCTCAGTGGAACCCAAAACATCCAGCAAATACAAACCTGAGCCACCCATGAACTCATAAAGCGGAAAGGATAAGATAGATTTCTTCAAGCACTCCTGTTTTGGTACACAGCAATGCCAGAACATCTGGAACTGTAAACTCTATTAAGAACCAATCATACTTCCACCAAGAAGGAACAGCCTTATGCTATTCATGCTATAGAGCCCAACCAGATACTAAATATTCACAAATAGACTAAGTCATCAAAACATCAAACACGGGAGCCACTTCTGTGGTATTTTGATAGATGCAGAATTTTTGGATGTTATTAATTCTTGTTTTCAGAAGTCTTGAGGATTCCTTAATTCAGCATTGCACGAGAACTACATGTTCTAGGGGTAACATCCAGGGGATGTGTCACTTTTTGAGGGCAAAGCCACAGTGGACTGCAATTCAGAGTGGAGAGGGAGAAGGGTACCAGGTGAAAGCAGCATTTGTCTGAAGAGCTAGATTACAGCCTAGTACTGCAGTCAAGAAGCTGTGGATTACAACTGGGTTGTCTTGGCAAAGTCATGTCAGGGAACCTTATGTATCTTCCACTTGCATCGTCCCCAGAGCTGGCTACTTCAGTGTAACTGCTTCCTTTCTTGAGGGCAAAGGATCAAACCTGAATCCACAAAACATGCAGGCAGTAAACACAGAGTGATCTTTACAAGCAGGGTGTTCGTGGCACAGAAAAAACCCAAGATTTTTCACAGTGACTGGTTCTGGAAGAGCAAAAGCAGCTATGTGCATGGAGTTAATAACTCCCAAACTGTATACGTCTAGGCTTTCCTTTTCACAAGTCTCACCACCATTTTACTTTGCTCATCTGAGTGAATTTCAATTTGAAACATCTTGGCTAATCCAAAGCTGGGTGGAGAACAGAATATCCCTTCTGGGCTCATTGCTCCGTTTCTCAGATGTTGATGTGCATTGCTCAGACATTGCAGCATTAGATGCACTTTTAAAATGCAATGAAAGCACTGCAAGGAAACAGCTCTAAAAGCTTTGGATCTTTGGGTTTTTTTGTTTTGTTTTGTTTTTTTCCCCCCTCCTTGAAAACATCGCTCAGGGCTGCAGATGACGGCTCTGGCAGATTAGATCCTAGCCTTCACATGGCATGAGGTGAATATTAACTAGAGCTTCATGTCACCCTTATGCAACAGGGTAAATAGGCACCATAATTCCTGCTTTAGAGATAGGAAGCCAAGTTAGAGAATACCAGTCAAGTTAACTAAAGCCACATGGTAATAGTCACATGGGAGTACAGGAACTGCCTCACACAATGTTTTCAAGAAGCTGCTGCTCACAGAGATGTCAGCTGGACAGACAGTTTAAGGTCTGACAAGGACATAGCCTGATAGCTGACATTTACAGTGAGGAGGTAGCATTATTCCCTGCTTTGCAATATAGACCTAAATAATGAGGGGAAACAACCAGAGGTCTTGGGCAGATCAAGTGGCAGCAGGAGGAAAGCCAAGGGTTCACAGCTCCCTTGAACACACCTTCAAGGACAGAGTGAAGATGACAGCAGAGCCAGGAGGAGGAGAGGCACTCAGCTGCATCATGACCTACAGTTATCCATGTCCCATCCCAGTTGCAGCGGGAGGGTGGTAGGAGAAAGGCCACCTTTGCACTCCGTTCTCCCCACAGGTGATCAAAAGAGCTTGGGTGCAAGGATGGAGATGTGACTAAGGGAACCCTCATGGAAGTGGCCTGTTTGTGCACTGCCTCCATCTTCACAGAGGTGCTGGGCCCAGCCTCAGAACAGCTTGGCCTGGGTTAGTCTAGGTCAGTGCTTTTGAAGCTTCTCTTTCTTTTTTCATGTCTCACTAGAGGCAGCTAAAGCCAACCCTGCATAGCAGCACTCTGTGCCACAGGGAAGCAAAGCAAGCAGATTATGCTAAGCAGGCGATTAAAAAGCCCAGAGTCGATCCCCTAAATCACTGCTTAAATCAGAGAAGCCATCCAA